TTTTGATGGAGGGAGGGAGGAAGATCTGCAAAGTTTCACAGCAAAGGGGGTTATTTTCCGTTTACTTGACTTTATCTTTTTATAAACCTTTTATAAACATAGGGTATTATTACATTTGTTCTGCAAAATTCAATAAATGGGAACTCAGTAGCCCTAAAATTATCAAATATTTCCCTGTTCTTCTTTTGTTGTTCTTACATTAAGTGAGTTTGGCCAACATTCAATATCCAATTGCTATACTATTGTTTAAGCTGTAGCGGTTTAAGTAGTTTCCAGTATTTAGAAAATATTCTAAATGTACAATGTAAACCAAATCTTGACAGTGGAAGAGACAGATACGTGATAGGAAGAAGCAAGAAACACAAGACAAATGGTGAACATGTGGGGAAAATTCTGGGGTTTGGTTCTGAACCTTTTTTTTATAGTTCCAGGAGCAAAAAAAGGTCATGGGGATCTTCCAGAGTAGAATTGCAAACCAAATATTAATTGCAATGCATGTCTGCACACACTTATACACAGAGTGAGAACACTTGTTCTTATATAGCATGACACTGAGAAGAGCATTAGCAACAGCTGTCGTATAGAACAATTGTTTTAATAATCAGGATGCTTCCAGGAAACTAGGAAAGAAATCTTGGCACTGCCACCACATGCTGACAGTTCCTTAAGAAGAGATATGTATGTAATAATCACTGTTTAAAATCATTTCACTTTAGTGGCATATTAATCATTTGGAGTGCTCTACGGCTAAATCCCAAAACAATCCGGGGGGCTGTCCTAATGCTCTAGAATAATACTTATACATGCTATTTAGAAATAATCTGAAATGACTTTAAGGTAGGCTCTGCTTTGAATGTTTATTTCAGGTGAATGTACAAAAAGGGGAGAATTTACTGAAATATTTTGCTCTCCTTAGAGCAAATTAGGAAGGCTTCAGGTTAGGTTATACTTTTATATTTTATATAAAAAGTCTTAGAATTAAAGAGTTCTGAGTCCCAGAATTTGTTGACAAAGAGAAAGTGAATGAGGAGTGTCATATACAAAGTTCCACTCCTGGATACTTGCCTCAAGGTATTCTTAATTTTAGAGATTTACTGGTAAGGAAATTCTGTTGTTACTATTGAAGAATTGCAAATCAAGTCTTTGCCGAACTTCTATAAACCCTCAAAGTATTATAGAGAGATCCATATTTATATTCTGCCCATTCTTGCTGTGGGACATTTTTGTTTGCTGCTACTGCTGCTTCATAATCTGTATTTTATTTTAACAGTAAGAAAAATATAACTAGCTTTTAGTTTTGTTTTATGAAACGAGTCCATCTTTCCTAAGGCCTTTTAGGATGGTGTGCCAAACTAAAAGAGAAAGAGATGTCAGTGCTTTCCTCAAGCCTTTTATATTTTGGCCAGAGTGCTCAGTGTCTGTCTGTGTGTCTCTCCCTTGGCACCTGTTCAGGAGAGTAGCTTAGAAATGCTCTGAGGCTGGAAAAGCAGACACTTCTGGGCTGATAAGTCATCCTGTTTGACAATTAACCTGCTGGAACTTGGTCTCAGAATATCTCTTGTATGTATGTGGTTTGTGCACTCTCCAATGACTTTGTTAGGGATATACAAACACCGCACTTTTGTTAGCAGATAGTGGCATACAATCAAGCTGGTCAGCCACCACCCAGTGACCTGGTAGAGCAGCATCAGAACATCATTCAGAAGATCAACTGGCAAAAGTCCCAGCTGCAGCATGGAGGAGCTGCAGTCATGAAAGGTATTTTGATACGAAGGCTCAGCTATGAGACCTGTCTCTCTCCCCTGGATTGATCTTGGTACACCAATCAGGTCTGACAAAGGCATCCAAGCTAGGGTTCCTGACCATGTTTGATCTTCATTCTACAGAATATCTGACTCGATTGGAGCAATACCAACAATGGTACACAGAGGCAGCCAAGCGCCTTGGAAATGAAGGAAAACGGGTATGGAATGATTTTGTAGCACGGGGGGGGGGGATGCAGGGAAGAACAACTATTTTCAAACCTCTGAGCTCCATCATTCTTGGTTTACAACTGAGGGCTACTTATTTAAAAGAGCATGGAATCTGTATAGATACTAGGGCAGTTTGAACACAAGCATCAACTAAACTGCTGTTTGCTGTACTATTTGGCAGGAGGCAGCTAAGGATGCTCTTTACAAGCGCAATCTGGTGGAGAGGGAGGTGAGTAGTGCCTCCAGATTCTTCTTTTCCGTGCCCAGCTGATCAGAATGGATTGAGACAAGTCTGGAACCTTCCCCATCTTTTGTCATAGTGTCCCCTTTGGGGTCCCTTCTTTCTTTTGTGTGGCTGGCAACAAATGGTTTTCCTGAAGGATTTTAACTAGTACAATTTAACTGAGTGCTTGTAGTACAAAAAATGTTCTACAAACGATAAGGGCCATTTCCCAAGTTCTCCTTATGCAAAATGTTCTCCACTTTGGGGTGCAGTGTTTTTCCTGCAGCTGCTGCTGGGTCAGAATCTTCCTCTTGTCTCCATAGGCATAGGTGTGCTCGTTGCTGGGCTCTTCCCAGTGTAAATGGTTGTGTCACTTCAGTGGCTACATTGTGCTAACTGCACTGGTTTCCAAGTTGAGTCCAACTTAGAGTGCTATTTCTTACTTTTTGAGTGAAGTTATTTAAAGGATTGCCAGTTTCCAGAGATATTTCTTAGGTGACTTTGTTATCAGACATTAGGCTGGTGGCTGCCAGGGAGACAGTCTTCACAGTGGTGCTTAGAATCTCACAGTGTCCTCCCTGGATAATTTTTTTTTACTTTTTTTGTTGATTTTTATCCTGGCTTATGATCAGCATTAGGGAAATTTGGTATGTTAGCTGTCTTTCCTTTATGTTATGTACACCTGGTAATCTATCTCAATATAGTTTATGAATGCCATGGATGGATTAATTATCTATACTTTGTTTTTTCCTGGAAGCACTGATGGACCTACATGTTTTGTCTTTCAGCTGCAGAAGTTTCGGAAATGAAGGAGGGAAGAGCAAATGTCAGAAAGCACTTAAATCACCTAACCAAGCAACTATGCTTTCAACCATGGTCTTTTCACTGTTACGGGTGAAAGGTAGTGGAGAGACCAAGATACATAGGCTGTATGCTGATGGATCAGTAATGCCACAAGTTGATTCTTGCTTAATTGACTTTGCAGAAAGCTCGTCCTAGGCTTCACCACATCTAGAAAGGTGAAGTTCCCCACAAGTACATGTAACCCTGATAAGTGAAGAGAGACAATCCATGTGACAGGTGCCTTATAGCTACATTCACCACTTCTTCTTCCTTTGCGCTAGGCACTTTGCACATTCCACTTGAGCTCTGATTTTTTTTGCCTAATCTAATCTAACCCCTTCTCAGTGGTCAAGGAGATCTAGTTGAGATGCCTTGTGCGTGAGGCCTTGTATGCCCATTTCTGTGGGATTCCAGGTTCTAAATCTGTCTTGTATGCCAGTTGAGATGGAAGTCCTGTACATGTGGTATCCTTCTCTATTGGCCAGGGGCTTTAAGTTTTAGATGGTAGTATAGATATCAGTTGCAGTAATGGAAAGACTCTAGAATATCCCAAATTAACTGAGTTGGCCCAGGTAGGATTTTGGAACTTTCAGTGTGTTTAACAAGGTCATTCCAGAAGCCATATAGTCTGCATTCATTTCCTAGATTCCCTTATCCACCATTCTGTCCTCTTCTGCACCAGGCACTTTGCACACACTATTTGAGCTTTGATTTTCTTGCCCTTATTTGTGTATTCTTCCACTGACAGTTGAATAATTCACTTTTGACTCATCTAATCCCTTCTCAGTGGTCAAAGAGATCTAGTTGGGATTCCTTGCATGTGCAGTCTTGCATGCCTGTGGGAATCAAGCTTCTAAATCTGCCTTGTATGCCAGTTGAGATGGAAGTCCTGCATATGTGGTATCCTTCTTTACTGGGAGCTAACTAGTCTGCCCCTTATACAATCCCTGTCATGGAGAATTATGTAGTCACAAGACTCACACTTTTTGATGGGTCTGGACTTCTAACATACTCTTTCTCTTTCATTGTTTCTTCCTTGCCTTGGAAGGGCCAAGAGAAGAAGCATCTGTGAGACTGCTGAAGGAGTTGGTTTCTTTTTTTAATGCATAAAGAGTAGCAGAGCAGTCCTTCCGCTTGGGAAGGAATAACTGTTCAGTTCTGGTGCCCAAACAGCTAATGGGATCCAATCTTGGCACTCTTATGCAAGTTAGATCTCCTTCTCATAATATATTTAATTGTACTATTTCTATTGGATGGGAGATGGTATCTGATAATCACCAGTTCCAGAAACATTATACAGAAAGCCTGCATCACTTAGCTCCCCCTTCCCCACACACAAATGTTTCCAGAGACAGGAGAAATGCTGCTGAAACCTGTTGTGGTGCTTTTTTTGTATAGTCTCTGTTGACAGATTGGAATGTGCTCTTTCCCAGTTCTTTTTTCTATAATAGATTGAGTGTATGAAATTAACTCAGGATTGTTGCTGCTGCTCAGGATGGATGATGTGATGAGCTGTGGGTTATATCCAAATTGTCTTCTCTGCCACTGCCTACATACCTTTTAAAACCAAATTTTAATTTAAGGAAAATAAATGTACTATATACTCTTTTCTCCCCTGACTTTTCCCCTGACTTTCCTCTGACTTTTCACAATCTCATCTTTTATAGAAGTGCCTGTCTCTGAAATTATTGTTCAGCCAGAGGCTTTTAGAGCCAATGTTAAAAGCAAAGGCTGCAAATCTGTGTTATGGCTTTATTTTATGTATAGGATGACATAAATATATAACATTTTTAAGGGAGGGAGGGAAGAGAGTGTGTTTAAAAGAAAAGTTCTATAATGCACCAGTAATAAAACTTTCTTCAAACCTCCTTTTAATCTGGATTGTGTTTATGTGTCTGCTCAATGGCAAGATGTGATTCTTACGGAGTCTTGCAAGTAATACCATGTATTTTATCACTTTAGGTTTCCTTTTTCAGCATCTACAAAAAAGGTACCATCTCTGTATAAAAATGGTTTAATCTGCTAAGCTAACACAAGTTTAGCTTATGTAGTCTGGAAATCTGAAGGTCATTTGATATTAAAATAATTTAGTTTCTATGGCTTCATCCTTGATGCAGGCATATGATGCCTTTGATCTTAGTTAAAGCTATATTTTCTATGGAAAAATACAAGTTTTATTATGACTAGTCCTGTGATGATGGACCCTTGCTTCTTTTGAATGTTGTCCCAATTTTGTTCAAACATTTGTAAATTTGGGAAATGTAAACATGGCTTGTAATTCTGTGTGATGGTCAACAGTCTAGCTGTCATTCCCATCATTTTCTCCTTTGCAAAAAGATTGAATGGGATTTGACACATGGGGAAGAAAACTTTTGCATCTGCAACTTCCTAGCTCTCTACAGCAGCTCTGTTATCAGATTGGAAGCACACATACAAGAAGTGATGCAGAAGAACGAACTGAGAGGAAGTGCTCCACTGAGTATTTTATGTCCTAGGCAACGTTGCAAGTGGGGACACCTAGCTTCATCTGGGTATGACTACCACTTTTTGCCTTAATTTCCCTGTTAAACTAAGCATTGTTGCTAAGTTTCGCTCCCAAGAAAAGCAGCTTGCTGCACTGGCTTTGTTGTAGGTGGCTGGCTGGCTGAGTTCTCCAGAAGGTGAGAGGCAGGCTGGCTGAGGCCATGTTCATCAAGAGGCCTAAGGAAGCAGCATGGTGCAAAGAGAATTCAGAATGGTAATCTGGAGAAGAAAGAGGTTCAGTCAGCTGGGCTTGATATCCAGAAAGATTGACTATAATTATACTTGTAACATGGGATCTTCTGCATGTACAGAAGAAGCATTGACAGCAATACTACACACTTAGGTTGGCCTGAATTGTTGAATGTCTGGGAAGAGACTAGGATGGGAAGGGAAAGCTCAAGGTGATAGAAATTGCTACACACACCTACTTGAGTAATGAGATCCTCAAGCAGGGAATTATCCACCCGGGATTAATCTTTGGTATCTTTTTAGTGCTAGGTGAAGACATTAAAAAATTCACTGCAGCTTCTGTGGATGTTCAGTTTACTACAGCCTCATTCTGTTATACTGTATAAATGCTTATGAAACACTGGACCTTTCCCCCACTCTCAGCCATTTTGGAAGCTATACTAAAAAGCAATGTACAAATGCTTTAAGTCAACCACCAACCTATCTCCAATTGGGTTGTATCATCTTAAATTGCACGTGGCATTCACATGATAGTATTATTCATACAAGAGAGCCAGTTTGGTGCAGTGGTTAAGGCACCAGGCTAGAAATCGAGAGACTGAGTTCTAGTCCCACCTTAGGCACAAAGCCAACTGGGTGACCTTGGGCCAGTCCCTCTCAGCCCTAAGAAGGAGGCAAGGGCAAACCACTTTCGAAATCTTGCCAAGAAAACTGCAGGGACTTTCCAGGCAGTCACTAGGAGTCAACACTGACTTGAAGGCACCTCCCCAATTATTCATACATACGCATTTCCTTTAAGGCAACTACCATATTAGGGAACAGCAATGTCTTTCTTATACTTGCTGTATGATAGTGAAAGCTGCTTTTTATGTTCACATAAATCTCACTCAACCTTAACTCTCGAGTCCAACTTTCAAGCATACATTCATTGTCCCAGAGATAATTCTCTTATGTCTTTACCATTTTTCTGTGTAAACTCTTGCAATATTTCAGCTCTTCTATAATTCAAAACTACAGGGAATCTGTTATCAGTGAGTTATAACTTTTTGTTTTAAGATTTTTTTGATCATTAAGTCACTTCTCAGAAATTTCTAATTCCAACAGAGCTGAATGGATAAGTGAATGCAAACTTGTAAGGTAGGCCCATGGGGAGCTTTAAATCTAACCTGTTCTAGGCTGCCTTCCTAGGTGCCCATTTGAGTATGGACCCAGCGTCCAGTTTGCAGAAGAGAGATGTTGATAGGCTCTGGGTTGCCTGTCAGGTCTACTACTTCCAGGAATTTCAGGTCTGCAAATGCCATTTCTGACACATTGGCTGCCAACAAGCGATTGGATCTACAAAACAAGGAGGGCAGAATAATATCACAAGAAGAAATGGGCCCTGACATTTTTGGTTCTTAAAGATTTTGCAGAGGATTTTGCAGAAGTTTGGAGGGAATTCCAAAGGAGGCTTAATTCCTATTTATATTTAAAATACAGACAATTTGTTTTGTTTGAAATTGTTTTAAAGAGAAAGAGCTATACACACATTTACACCCCCAAACCCACAGACCCATAATATTTTATGAGCAGTAAACATATAATACTCAGACTATAATTATCTATCCATTCTCCTGTATAAGGCAGCTAGGTGGGCTTTACCTGAGAGTGATGACCCGTATGTTGTGTGTTGTGAGGAAGGTCTCGGCCATAATGACAGCAATTCTGTTGTGTTGCAAGTACAGATATTCCAGTGATTCTGGAAGGTCTGGTGGAACGTATGACAACTCATTGAAGCTCAGATCCAGGAGCTGGGAAAGCAAAACCCAGGAAATTGTAAGAATTGGCAATAAGCTATCCTCCTCCATTAATTTACCTAATCTGTAATTTGTGGAAGCATTTATAATGCCCTGTGTAAAGCAGCTCTTCCTTTTGTCTGTCCTGAGCCCATAACAATATAACTTTACTAAATGAACTAAATGTTATGAAAGGAGGATATGCATTTGCAAATTCAAATTTAACTTTGCATGCACATGTCTACATTTGTTTCAGTTTGATTTTGGATGTCAGTTCCCAATTTTTTGCTTCGGCCACACTTTATTTACACCATAGAAGTTTATTCTGAAAAGCTCTACCATATTGCTATCTTAAACTTAGCTTTTTTAGCCACAAGAATACACATTGTGCAGTGAACCTCCCTCCCTATCCTTCTTGCCTCACCTTGAGGCTGTGCAGCTCATGCCAAGTGCCTGGAGAGATACTGCTGATCTGCAGGCGGTTGTGTGCCAGGTGCAGCTCTTTAAGCATGGTGAGGTTGACTAACCGTTCTGGAGAAAGAGCATTGAGCTGGTTCTTCTGAAGATTGAGGACTTGAAGACTGGTGGGCAACCCAGCAGGGAGAAGTGTGAGCATGTTGCCAGAGATATCCAGAGTTTCTAGGCGCCTAAGCTTGCGGAAGGCCAGGCGGTGGATGTGGGCACTATAAAGCCGATTGTAACTCAGATTGAGCTCAGTCAAAGCATAAGTGGCCACAAAGTCATTCAAGCCAATGCGTGCAATCTGGTTGTGCAGCAGCATCAAAGATCGGACACGGCGGGGAAGTCCAGATGGGATTCCATCTAGCTGATTATTGTACAGATGGAGCGTATGCAGGGAGCGCAAGTGGGCAAAGGCCTCTGGGTGCACCCCTGAAGTTGTCAAAGCATTGCTTTGCAACAGGAGATACTGCAGGCCCCGCACACGGCTAAGGCGTTCAGGCGGTAGTCCCTTCAAGCAGTTTCGGCCCAAATGTAGTATTACTACGTTGGCAGGAAGACCAGCAGGCACCTCTGTCAAGTTGTTGTTGGAAAGATCCAGATATTCAAGGCTCTTCAGCTTGCTATAGAGATACAGGATGCCCAATAAAAAGCCTAGAATGTCTTCCAACACCCCCCACCCCAGCAAGTTGTCTACCCAGAATCCAGAAACCCTGACTTCAAACTTTACTGCTCTTTGCCACAGCCAGTCCTACTTTTTATTATTCTTACCTGAAGGTGGAGTGGCCCAGGCCCTCACTGGATAGATTATTGTTCTGCAGGTAAAGCTCCCGGAGGCGCCCTTGGCTGTTCAAGGCCCCTTTAGGGATACGAGAAATGTGATTATTCTGTAAAAGGAAGCCTTGTGGTCAAGGAGATGCCCCACTTTCATTCCCCCAACAATCTAGAGAGGGGTCACAGATCAGAATGGCCAAAAAGCTCTTGTAGCATTGCCATCATGCAGAAGCTGAATGAACAGGAACTTAAGGAACATACATAGCTGGAATGTGGTGACTAACCACAAATCTGGCAGCTTTCTCAGAATCTCCTTGGCTTTTCAGGCCAGTTTCTATTAAATACAGAAATCAAGTGGTAACCTATTTCCAGGACTGACTCCAGCTCCACAGAAGAGCCTATATGCTTGAACATATTTGCTCATAATTAAGACTTAGTGAATGTGAAGAATGTACGCGTTTTTCATACTTAGGCGTTTTCCTATAGTCAAGTAATATAGTTTATCTAGGTACAGACATGGAAAGTGTATTTGGCATTCTGAAGTGATACATTTCAAGAGCAGCTTCCATGATTCTATAGATTCTATAGGTTAGCCCATAACTGTGTTTCTTAAAAAGAGTTAGCTCTGACTGTCAGTTAACATTTCTATTTAGCACAGGAGACAAGGAATTCACAGCATACAAAGGATTGAGAGCGTATGTGTTATGCCACTTTCGGGTGCTTTCCAATCTGTTCCAGGCGCTCCACTGTGGAAGCTGGGCTTGTACAATTGAGAAACTGAGTTGAGCACACAAGATTGCATTCTTTCTGCTAACTCCACTCCCGCTTAGAGCTTTCCAGTTCATATTGTTCCAGCCAATCTTTTTTTCTATCCTGACAGGATATTGCAACTACAAACCTGCAAATGGAGGCGAACAACACCACGGGGCAAATTCTGGGGCACGTAGGTAAGCCGATTGCTGGAAAGGATCAGGGTGCTGACAGCATCCGAGCCATTGAAGGCATCAAAGGACAGACCTGTGTTGTTCAAGTGATTGTTGTGTAGATAAACAGACCTGTGTGGAGAAAAAAAAATGCAAACGACACATTGTAAGTGGCCTAGACCAGTATCACAGAGTCCTAGAGATATGTCGGCACCAAACTATCTTGATGGGATAGAAGTAAAAGATTGGGCTTTCAGGGCATATTCTCCTCCTCTGACTACTCCACTTTCCAGACAAGCAACAATGGCCAATCAGGAGCCCAGGGACTACATACAACCCTTCCCTATTTGTCCTGGGTTCTGCCATGCTTTCAGGGTTTCTCTGTGTGCCTCTCTTGGATGAAGAATTTCAGCCTTTCCTGCTTATTAATTAATTCAAGTCAGGCCTTCTGCTGCTTCCTGAACAGAGGGTGTGACTTCCAGGTGCCTTAGCTTTTCATAAAATCGGTATTCTTTTCACCCAGGGTGCCATTCTTGTTATGTAGTTTTACACGAAGTTGGCCAGCACCTTATAGTGCTGGCTTTACTTCTACTGAAATGTGGGATTTTTTTCTAGTCCAGCTTTACCTGAGACCAGGCTTATGCCCAAAGGTGAGTGGATAGATGCATGTCAGGTGGTTGGCAGCAAGGTCCACAATGCGTAGAGTGTGTGGCAGGAACTGTGGTGCCACTGACAGCTGGAAAAGAAATGTGAAAGTATGTATCGAAGGAGGTTTGTCTCATTTTATGCATATAACTGGAACATGGAAAGTGGGAAGGGTGAACCAGGAGAAACCCAAAATTGTAATAACAGAAATAATCTGTACTAAATTGAATGCTTTAGGAATATGAACTTAGGTGGACTGGGATCGTGGAAGCATGATTCAGGACATGAAAGCGTATGAAGGAATAAAGTGGCCACAATATTCAAAAAGAACTTTGCTAAGCAAGTGTTCACCTACAATCCAATAAATAACAGGATGGCATCTTTTAAAATAGTGGACATTCTATGAACATCAGTGCTGTATAACCAAATGCACTTACTACAGATATAGTGGTGAAAGACACTGAAAAAGCCCATGGCAAATTGCGAGAGGTGCTGAATACAATATCAAGATAGATGTTGTACTACTAATGGGTGATTGGAATTGAAAAGTTGGAAGAAACGAGAAGCCTAGAATTAGAGGAAAAATTGGAATAGGTAAACACAACAATGCAGAAACTAGGTTAAATAGATTTTGTGAAGAGAATTCTCTGTTTATTGCCAACCCTTGCTTCAAGCAAGATAAACACAAGAACAAAATCGACCATATAACAGGAAATATATGGAGAAATATAATCCAGTCCAGGATCAGGTTATGCATAGATAATAAATTATTGGTGTCAATATATGGATTAAACTTTGAAAATTAAACAGGCTAGGTATAGCAGCAAGATTTGAACTGGTGGACACATTATGTGAATGAGCTTATAAAGAGCTAGGAGATCACTGAGCAAACAAACAGTGAGAACTAACAAGTGTCTGTCAGGGCAGTTTAAGGGGGAGTCACTAACAAATTGTAATTTAAATCAAGAGTCAAGTACTTAGCTAAAGTGGGAGCCTAAAAAAAGAGAAGATGAAATAAAAGCCTTTCTACTGGTAGTACTCTAAGAAGAAAAAGTGAAAATGAACAGAGAGGAGTCTGCAACTATGACCTGCAATACTTGTAGCAAGTTGTCTTGCCTAGAAACAACTGGGGATAAATTTGCAACAAAAATACAAGCACATGTCAAAGACCTGAGGCCACACTTCAGCAGATGAGAGAGGTGAGGCTTTATCAAATAGAGAAGACTTTACAACAGAAATGCACAGTGGGAGCAACCTTCATATGAAGACAAAGATAGAAACAAGGGCAGGGGACAACAGTTTCAGTTAGAAGCAAAAGAATTAGAAGATAGCCTACATTTCTGGAAGTCAGGAACAGTTTTGGGGCCCTGGAAGATGAAACAGTTCTCAGCAAACTTTTCCTTCAAAGGATGGAGGAAAGCACAAGCTATCCGTGACTTGTAGGGAAGGCTCAATTGAGGAAGTAGGTGTTGCAGATGCACTGAGCTAAAGTGACCATGTAAATGGTGGAGTTTTTGATTTTAAGAGAAACTAAAACTCAGCATAGTCGAACACATATCTTGGACTTCAAAAAAGCAAATTTTAATAAACTCAGAGCAAATGCAAGCAGGAGAAACTACTGGGAAAAACAGCTTAAGAAGGGTAGGGATTCCTCAAGCAGGAGATACCAAAAACACAACTACAAACAAATCCAATGATGTGGGAAAATAGTTAGGCTTCAGAAAAGGCAGAAAGACACCAGATAGCTAATATTAAAAGGGTAATGGAGAGAGCAAGAGAATATAAGAGGGATATTTGCCTTTTCTTTATTGATGACAAGCCTTTGATTATATATCATGAATATGAAATGTATTAAAGGTAATAGACATGTCAGAACATCTAATTACTTTTCTGAGGAACCTTTACAATGAATAAGCTTATTTTACTTTAAGAGTGCTGAATTCCATCTATCTACCTTCCTTTCTTCCTTTTGTATTTTTATTCTTTTTTTTTTTTTTGCAGAGAGCCGTTAGGGTATTATCACTGTTCTATAACCTGCTTCTTCTTGTATACTGGCTGTAAATTAAGTAACAAAGAACTATTGCAAGAAATTATGAAGTTACCCTCAGTGGTATTAGATGAGAGATACAGTAGGACTCCATGCAGGCATATTCTTACCAAAGCCTAACAAAAACCCAATCTCTAATGAGGGCTATCTGTTTCCTACTCCCAGGTCAGAACCCTACTGTCACCAATAGAGTTGCTGAGTTTCTATTTGCTATAATTTTTATAAGAAGACATAAGGTGTCCTAATCTTGGAATCATGATTTTTATTTTATTTTATTATTCCTATTTTACTCTGTTCCTAATTTATGATTCATTCTCCCATTCTCTGGCTTTCAAATCCTAATTCTGTAGGTTTTAAACTACTTTTCTACTTGTATTTTGCTTCTGAATTTGTTTTTTTTGTTTTTTTACTTTGCTGGTCATTAACCTAATTAAATAGATTTGGATGGTAAAGCCATGATTTTAGGACAAAGCAAGTCAAAGCATGTAAGGGAGAGAATATTAACCTGGGTTTAATACCCGGCTTGAGATTTGGGTTAGGAGAGGACAATATCATGAAAGGGTTAGAAAAAGGGTTGAGCAAATAGTCAATCTGAAAATTAAAGATAATTTAATGGGATTTTCTACAAGAATAGTTTTTCTGAATTCCTTCAGCAATTTGAACATCCAAATAAATTAAACAATAAACACATTTCAGAAATCCAAATCAGAAGGGAGGAGTCTCATCCTAGTATTAATCAGGTCTGTCCCTGCTTAACACTTTTTTTTGGATCAGCCAAGGAAGTTACATATTTGTGAGAAAAAAAAATTGAATCAAGATTGATGCTTAGTGGCTACAAAGACGCATCCATGCAGTTTTCTTGGCAATAATATGGAAGCAGTTTGCTGCTGCCTTCATCTAGGATTTTTTTTTTTTTAACTTCTCAGTCTAGACTACAGTCCTGGTATTCCTTGCTGGCCTCCCATCCAAGTACTAACCAGGTCAAACCTTGCTTACTTTTCTAAGCCAGCCAAGTTCGGCCAGGTGAGGGAAAGTAATGGTCATGGATACTACCCTGAGCCTTTTGAAAGAAAAGTGGGCAAAAAATATAATAATAAATTAATCATCAATTTATTTCTTTTAAATTATCATAGTTTTTATCCATTAACCATTTGATTTTTATATAGAAATCTCACTGCCTCATTTTTTCATCTTGCGGCTCTTTAATTTAACATTTTCCATCTTCCTTGCTGCTATTTGTGTTTTTCTGTGTTTGTGCATGTACAAACCCACATCACTACACTTGTATGCTCTGCACTTACTAATCCTAAACATGCTCACCTTGTTGTTGGCCAGGTAGATGTACTGAAGTGACTGCAGGGACTCAAAGGCTTCATCCGGGAGACCTTTAAAATAGGACAGACTAGAATAAGGTCTGTATCTGGGATCCTTGCTAAATTGTTGTGTCAGTCAGACTTCTTACCCATGCAAGACCTCTTGGTATTCACTCATCCACTCAGTATTTACATCATGAGCTCATCCCATGCTCAGAAAGCAAGGAAGACTGATTTGCAGTCTCCTGCTGATACAGCCAGCTCTGACTGGGACCAAGCTGCTATTTATCAGCCCTTCCACACAGAGCAACCATTACTCCTGCAAAATGTATTTATTTTCTATCCTACCTTTTACATAGGAGCTCAAAGCAATATATGTAAGTGCTCCTATTTTTCCCCACAACCACCCTGTGAGATGAGGTTGGGCTGAGAGGGAGTGACTGGTCCAAAGTCACCCAGTGAGCTTCCATGACTGAGGGTGGACTGGCCTTCTCAGTGCCAGTTCAACTTTTTAACCCTTTATTCAATAGAAGAAGGGGAAGTGATACTTTACTTTTGAATGAGCCCTTTCACCCACCAACCCATCTACTCTTAGAGAATAATGATCTTGGGACAATTAGGGGTCAACTACTGTTTGTGTACATTAAAGGGAAGGGCCTCCAGAAACACAGGGAATACCAGGGAATGTTTGCTTACCATCAGAGGTGATCAGATTGTCATGGAGATTGAGGGTTCGCAGGCTGGTTAATCGGGATAGTTCATGATAGGGCAGCTCTTGCAGTTGGTTATTCTGCAGAAGGAAAACCAGCACTGGATAAGATGGGTAGCAAGGCATCCATACCACCACTGAATGGGTGTCTTCCTTCTCTGAACATCTGCAGTTTCTGAGAACTATTATTTTACCCCACAATGCAAAGCTCATTATCTGCCCCAGTACTGTAGGTCTCAGGGTACCATCACCTGCAATGAAAGATGCTGGATGTCTGCAGAGATATTGCTGGGGAAAATGTGTAGGTCAAGGCCACCACAATCCACTGTCTCCTCTGTTGGGCAGGTGCATTTGGCTGGGCAACCAGGCACATTCTGGGCAGAGTCCCCAGAGGGCTGGGATGTTGACAGTGGCAGGTCATCATCTTCATCCTCATCCTCCTCATGGTTTTTCAGCAGAAAGCTGTAAGGAATGCTTGCCAGAAGTAGTAGAAGATGACCACTGCACAGCTGCTGGGGCAGAGGAGGGGGCTAATCAATGGTGCTCTGTATAACATCATAACATGATTTTCTTTCAATGCTTCTCCTGTCTGCTCCATTGGGTAGGCCAGGAAGCCCCCCCTCCCCCTCTCCCCTCCCAAGTCCACTGGGAATGCAGACAGAGTTCTTTCATACTATTGAAATGCCTTACTAATTGAAATTGGGGTAGCTGAAAGGCACAAGGGTGTTTGTCTCTCTCAGGGGGTATTAAGCAAATGATTTTTTTTTTTAATAGAAGAAGACAGAAATATTACATGCAGGATAGGGAAAACAGAGGCCTGCACTAAATGTTTGGGCAGAGTTCATGCATACATGGAACAGTGTGAGAAGTGTTGGGAGTGGGCTTATAAAAGATTGTCATTAACATGGTGTGGAGAAAAGCTTTATTGACTAATTATTGGGGGAGGAGAAGCAAATGCAAATACATTAAGCCTTACAAGGATGAATTTCAAGCAAAACCTAAAAGCAGAAAAAGTGCAACAGAGAGATCATCTACAGTACTGCATTTGTAAAGGTGTAAATGAGAGAGCGAGGGAGCAGAAACTATGTTGATAGTGCAGTTGATAGTTGATAGTGCAAGAGTGCAGGAGTTAATAGTTGATAGTGCAAGAGACAAATATGTTCTGGGGACTATATAACCTTGCTGAAAGCAGGAACCGATCAAAATTACCCATTTAGATATCTCTTTCTTGAGCAAAAGTAATGCAAGATAGTAGCCCTGGCCCTGTCTGCTTTTTGTTTCAAGTTTTTTTTTGGGGGGGGGGAGTTCTTCCAATGCCTTTTAACATCTTTGTTTACCTATAATTCCATAGATAGAGTCTCTTCCAGATTGTGTTACAGAAATAGAATAAAATAAATTATAAATGTACAAAAGAAAATATTCAAGATACCTGTAGAATATTCAAGATACCCGTAGAATTTCTGCCTGATACAGCTATTAGATAATAATAAACACTGCAAAGTGCTTTCATACTAGTAAGAGCAATCCCCTGTTTATTCTCTCCACATCCTCAAATCACACCTAAACACCTGACACTCCTTAATTCAAAATAGCCTGTTTCCCGATGTAACAATTTCGAACATAGATTATTCCCACTTTATCAGTCGATATGCATAATAGGAAACGGGAAATCCGTGACTTTAAACTTTGAACAAGAATCGTTATAAAATGTAACTCATACGAATTAAAAGAGCTTAACCTCGTATGCGCTCTAACGCAACGGAGGTAACACATCTGAATTAAGGAGCCTAACTAGCCGCATCTCCGCCCTCCCATTCAAGCATTTATGACCTGTCTGTGGACCTCCTTCCTCCAGTTCAGCGGCGGAACGCACACCGCGCCAGCCTCCGCTACGGCTCCCGCCCGGTGCCGTCCAAAGCCCGCTCCGCCCCGCCCCTACAGGCGTCTCTGCTGTGCAGCTCCCGGGCGCCTGGCTCCAGGGTACCACGCGGTAAGAAACCTCCCGGGCCACGTTCGTGCTTGCTCACCATCGCCCTGCTTGGCCGAAGCCGTCTCTCCTCGGAAGGATGCCACGGATCTCTAATGGAATCTAGACCTGCGCAGGGCGGTACCTCTTCCCCCCTGGGCCCTGCGCGATCGCCTTCCTTCTCTTTCCGAAGCCAAGCTCTTTTGCCTACAGGCGGCTTTCGGAGGAGCCCCAAGAGCGCACGAAAGAAACCCCCCTCCCCTTTCTTCCCCTAAGGCACGTAGGACGGACGGACCTGCTCCCGCCGTGCTGCTGCCACTTCGGCGGGGGGACGGGGAGGGTGAGAGAGAAGAATGGTATGTTTCTTTCTCTTTGTTTTTCATCCGATCAAAGTCAAGAAGGAGGGGCTGTTATTGCATAATGCTCACTTAGCCAAGGGACGCTGGGGGACTGCCAGCCAGCCGCTACTCTCCGGGAGCCGATCAGCTGCGATTTGCCTGCCTGCCCCGCGCTGTTTGTTTTCCCTGGTGCGGTGGAAAGTTTCTGCCGCGGCCACAAAACCTCCAAGACTTCAGTTCTTCCTCTGGATAGCTACACCTTTGCTTTCTCCATACCACACTTCTCTGTCAGACCTTGCAACCCTCTTCAAGCCAGTAGCAGAGAACAGTTTGTTCTGATCTGAATTACCATAGTGTATCATAGTGAATATTCAAGACCTCTGAGCCTGTGCCAAGTGGCCACCACATGCTGTCAAAAAAAGCACGGCTGAGTTGTCACTATACAAGCTGCCTTGAGACAGAAAAGCAAGGCAGGTTTTTTTGGTGACAATACGCAAGTGGTTTGCTCTTGCCTTCCAAGGTATTTTCTGACTTGCTAGTCTAGCCTGTTGTTATTCAGATGCTCAATCATTTCAAGACTTTATCATCTCCCATCCAATGAATAACCGCACCCAACCCTGCTTAGCTCCCAAGCCCAGACAAGATCAGCCAGATGCTATTATCTGCTAGGACCTGAAAGAACAGTTTCAACAATCATAACTTCTACTGTGAAAATGCTAAGGTAAATATTGTAATGAAGTTAATGACATATAAGATGGCAATTATACTAGCACTGCATACATTTTTGTACGGATCCTCCTTCCAGAAGCACTTAAAAGATCTCTATGGAAGTACAGACATCTCCTTGGACCCTGACAGCATGAATGTTATCACTCAGCCAGATGGCACCAATGTCTCTGCTTCTTCAGCTCTGGAAGAGAAACCACAGAACACTGTCACTGTCAGTTCTGCCTTGAGATTTAATAGCCAAAACTGAATTTAGTCACAAAATGTCACCTTCTCCTCTCTCCCCTCCAAATGCACACACTTAGGAATATCATAGATCAAACATATGGCATCTTGGCCATATATTTAAGAGCATACATATCAATATGGGGAGGGAAAAAAGGGCTCATTTTTACTGTTTGTCCTGAACATAACTAATTCCTTCTAAGGCTATAAGACATTTGGATATTATTCCACTCTACGGAGTTAAGTCTTTTGAGGATGGAAACAGACCTTTAATGATCTACAGTGGGGCAAAAAAGTATTTAGTCAGCCACCAATTGTGCAAGTTCTCCCACTTAAAAAGATGAGAGAGGCCTGTAATTTTCATCATAGGTATACCTCAACTATGAGAGACAAAATGAGAAAAAAAATCCAGAAAATCACATTGTCTGATTTTTAAAGTGATTTTCTGGATTTTTCCCCCCATTTTGTCTCTCATAGTTGAGGTATGTGATTTTCTGGATTTTTCCCCCCATTTTGTCTCTCATAGTTGAGGTATGTGATTTTCTGGATTTTTCCCCCCATTTTGTCTCTCATAGTTGAGGTATGTGATTTTCTGGATTTTTCCCCCCATTTTGTCTCTCATAGTTGAGGTATGTGATTTTCTGGATTTTTCCCCCCATTTTGTCTCTCATAGTTGAGGTATGTGATTTTCTGGATTTTTCCCCCCATTTTGTCTCTCATAGTTGAGGTATGTGATTTTCTGGATTTTTCCCCCCATTTTGTCTCTCATAGTTGAGGTATGTGATTTTCTGGATTTTTCCCCCCATTTTGTCTCTCATAGTTGAGGTATGTGATTTTCTGGATTTTTCCCCCCATTTTGTCTCTCATAGTTGAGGTATGTGATTTTCTGGATTTTTCCCCCCATTTTGTCTCTCATAGTTGAGGTATGTGATTTTCTGGATTTTTCCCCCCATTTTGTCTCTCATAGTTGAGGTATGTGATTTTCTGGATTTTTCCCCCCATTTTGTCTCTCATAGTTGAGGTATGTGATTTTCTGGATTTTTCCCCCCATTTTGTCTCTCATAGTTGAGGTATGTGATTTTCTGGATTTTTCCCCCCATTTTGTCTCTCATAGTTGAGGTATGTGATTTTCTGGATTTTTCCCCCCATTTTGTCTCTCATAGTTGAGGTATGTGATTTTCTGGATTTTTCCCCCCATTTTGTCTCTCATAGTTGAGGTATACCTATGATGAAAATTACAGGCCTCTCTCATCTTTTTAAGTGGGAGAACTTGCACAATTGGTGGCTGACTAAATACTTTTTTGCCCCACTGTACTGTCTATCTTGACAATTACTCTTTCCTCTCAGAAGCCTAAAATATTAATAGCAATGCTATGCCACAGGGAATCATATTGTAACCTTACACTACATCATGATTGGCTTAATAAAATTATTGAATAAACTGCAATGTCTGGGTTCAGTCAACCAACTAAGCCATAATGTGGTTTCTTTGTAACTTAGCACATTCTGTGAACCCAGACACAGCCATAGGTTCAAACTCTGAACCACAGCCAGATACCAATATTATTCTGTATGTACTCTGGCAATACTAGTAAAGGATCTAATCAATAATGTCACCAAAAATATCACACTTGCACATTTGCTCATCTTCCAATGTCATACATATGTTTGTTTATTTGATTTCTTGGGCCACCCAATCACCCAATATATCTCATATCAGATATAACTCTAATACTCATGGCAATATTCAAAACCAGTGCGTTAATATTTCAAGACAGTTTGCAACTGACCTTAAGGTGGCTAGACTCAAGCAAGGTACATCAAGGGTAGATTTCCATATCAAAGAAGTAAGTGCAATATATCAAAATATGCAGCTCTTATCTCCTCTGGTTTGAGCAAAAACAACAGATTCTGTTTTAACCATCCAGTACAACAGTTTGTTTTATGCCCAGCGATAACTCCTTTACCTTTGGCAACAACATATATCTACAAATCAGTAGCACAGCCATGGGACTCTGCCTGGCTCCACAACATGCCAACATCTACATGGCTGACCTAGAAAAACACTTCCTCAACTCTTACCCCCCAAGACCCTTTTTATTTGAGATTCATTTATTTGAGAAATGTTCATCATTTGGATCCACAGAAAAGAATCTCCCATCAAATTCCATAAAGATCTCAATAACATCCACTCCACACTATCAGCCTTAGCCTCAGTGTATCTCCAGAACAAGCCCACTTTCTTGATGCCACAATAAAACTACACAATGGACATAGAACTACATTATGCAGAAAACCTATAGATCTCCATGCATATCTCCAAGCTTTCAGCTTCTGCCCATAACACACCACCAAATCTATCATCTATAGCCAGACTCTAAGCTACAAATGTATTTGATCTGACCCACTCGACAGAGATGCTCAACTGATGGAATTCATCTAGGCATTCAGGAGACTGAGCTACCATCCAGTGAACTCAACAGATGAATCAATAGAGCCAGATCGATTCCCAGGGAGGACCAATTAAAAGGCAGGCCACAAAACAGAACACGAGAACAGCAGTATCCTCACCTACAGCTCACAGTTCAAGCCCTTCAAATGCATTATTTAATAAGCTACAACCCATACTGGGGAATGACACTGCATTTTCTCAGGCACTGGCTGGCAAGTTCATACTTGCATACAGACAACTGCTCAACCTGAAGCAGATTCTCACAAGGAAAAGAAACAACAGGAAAATGATGCTACCATGGGAACCAGACCTTGCAACAAACTGAGGTGTCTACTTTGCCCTTACATTTACACCAACAGCACCATGACAGACCCCCAAAACTTCACACACAAAATTAGAGGGACCTTCATATGCTCTTCCTCCAGTGTGACATATTCCATAATCTGCCAGTAATGCCCATCTAGATTCTACATGGACAAACAGGTCAGACTTTGCACAAAATAATTAATGGTCACAAATTGATTTGAGGACTCAAAGCAAAGCCAAAGTAACACTTTATTACAAGGACTTTATTACAAGGACACTTTATTACAGATTTCAAAGTACTCATTATGGAAAAAAGAAACTTTACCATTACAACTGAGAGAGAGAGGGAGGGAGAGAGAGACACTACTGAACTCCTATATACAGTATAAAAAGGTTTGAGGCTATTTCAGAAAGTCTTAACAAACACAATGGATTTTTACAACATTGCAACTGTCAATTGATGAGATACTTACAACCTGACTTACATGAAATCTGCATCTGCATAACCACCCTGTTTTCCCCCCTCCCCTCATCCCAATTTAAATCTAACATCATTTAGCCACTCCATGCATCTGATGAAGTGAGCTGTTGCTCATGAAAGTTTATGCTTTTGAATAATGTTGGTTTGAAAATGTGTTATCAGGCTTCTTCTGATTTTTGTTGTTGTTGTTTAGTCGTTAAGTCGTGTCCGACTCTTCGTGACCCCATGAACCATATTGCGCCAGGCCTTCCTGTCCTTCACTGCCTCCCTGAGTTTGCTCAGTTTCATGCTCATTGCTTCAGTGATGCTATCTATGTCAGGATTTTCTTTCTCATGGGAAAGGATTCATCCCGTTATCTTTACAACCATAACAAATAATATTTTGACT